TGCGCAGTGTCGCAGCTTTGGTGTTATCAGTGCGGTACTTGAAATTCGGTTCGTAAGTTGATCGCTAGTTGTAGTCTTGGAGAACCGAGGTTGTTCTCCAGGTTGGATTGGGATTTTTTGTGTCAAGATATTATATATCTTTAATTATCTATTTATTTATTATACTTAATTCCCCCTCCCCCCTACCTAATTATCAATAACTTCCAGAGACTACCAGCCTGAGAGAGTTTCCTAACACTTCTCCAAGAAAGATTAGTGTTTCACTGAACTTACCATAAGATCGGAATCGCGACTCACTGAGAAGATCCAGCGAAAAACTCAGTGGGTCGTGTCTATGGGTTAGGTTGCACGCCGAACGCAATCGACGAGTTCGACGAAAACGGTGACAGGTACTTGGAATGCCTAATAGCACCGCGAGTGGATCGGCAGGATCCTACATGACATGATTAGGACGAGGGCGGCTGTGCGTTGTCTCGTCGTATGGGTCGGGTATCTACTTCATCGCGGCTATCTCGTAGAAATCATATTTAAGGTATATTTTATTGTTATCACCACCCTTCGTAGTGGATTGCATGAATGCATTACGGCAGACCCAGGCCGGGTGTTTGACGCTAAAACGCCCATCATTAATTACGCGCATAATTGAAATTAAACAATACACCAAATAAATTACAACGAAAGCCTCGTAACGAAACTGCAAATCATTGTGCCATCATTCATTAACAGAATAAGAGTACAAAAGGTGTCTTAACTTTATTTGTAAAGGGATTTGTCTCGTGTATGCGCGTCAGGCGTAAGATCGTCTCTNCGGGTGTTTCACGCTAAAACGCCCATCATTAATTACGCGCATAATTGAAATTAAACAATACACCAAATAAATTACAACGAAAGCCTCGTAACGAAACTGCAAATCATTGTGCCATCATTCATTAACAGAATAAGAGTACAAAAGGTGTCTTAACTTTATTTGTAAAGGGATTTGTCTCGTGTATGCGCGTCAGGCGTAAGATCGTCTCTGCTGCGAGAGCACCTACTTAAGTAGCAATGATAATTACGCTTAACGACGTCAGAGATGTGAGAACTGGTTGAGCAAAGTTCGTTTTATTGCGTATTTTGCAGCAATATTCGTTTACGGAACGAGTATTCGAGAATTAAGAAGTTCGCGTTACTGCGCCCTCGGCGTTCGAACGATAACGTTGATTTCTACAAACAATTCCACGCTTATTTTAGTATATTTCTTAATTCCACAACACGTTTGTTTCCGTTCTTTGATATTTCGTTCAGTTCTTTTTATAGCTTGAGTATAAAATAATTTCATTATGAATTTATTACTTTCGTTCGCTTCGCCATCGTCTATGTTAAATATATTATGAGATACAAAATTAATGCATCGTATATTTGTAATAACATGATTCATTTCTTTAAGTGCCAACAATAAGTGTCCTTTTTTTAAATTCAATCAGGTTTTTACTGGTGGTAGGACCTCTTGTGAGTCCGCACGGGTAGGTACCACCGCCCGCCTATTTCTGCCTTGAAGCAGTAAGGCGTTTCGGCTTGAAGGGTGGGGCAGCCGTTGTAACTATACTGAGACCTTAGAACCTATATCTATGGGTTTCAGTAACCACTTAACACCAGGTGGGCTGTGAGCTCGTCCACACATCTAGGCAATAAAAATAAAAAAAGGTGGCAATCAAATGACTGCCTAGACCCAACGTGAGCTCTGGATAGCCCGGCGGCTGTAGCGTCGACGACCTACCCTTCGGCGTTCAATGGGGTGGAGGGAGACATTTGTTCTCCGCGAAACGCTTCAAAATTTTCGAGCCTGGTGAATTCTCATGAAGCTCAGATGTGGCTTGTTGATCGACAGAGTTCTAGTCGGTTCAACTCAGACATGCCCGATCCACCGCCTTCAAAGTGTAGGCGGAGGCCAGGCGATTTGTTACGGGTCAAAAAAAACCTAGTTAACAAGGAAAATACGTTAAATTCTTCATTTTATTCTAACGGGCTTGGTAGACATCGACCTGCCGTAAAAATCTTAATAAAAATTTGGAATCTGGTAATCATAACATCATAACACCTATGGGTTCAATTGTAAATTTAAACTATCCAGGAACCCACGTAAACAAACAGTGTTAGTAAAAACCACCTAGAACTTTCAACGTGGATTAGATTGTAACGCTGGATTGTAGCGCGTTTCACATTTATTTTTAATCAGAACCCTAAACTTATAGCTTTAAAAACTATTACAAATATTTTTACGTAAAAAATATCTAAATCGGCCCAGCCGCTTTCAATTGATGTCTTTATAAACGAACAGTATTTCATTTTTATTTCTATAGACATGTGCTTTAATACAAACAGCTGTCACTTGCCATTCAATTGTATTGCAAACTCGATTGAAAAAAAATTACTGAGGTTTTATAACAAAATTTTTTTTATATTTTTCACCTATAAAGTTTAGCTATCGATAGCATTTCAAAGAAATTGTTGAATAAGCAAAAAGTTTATGTTGTAGTTTTCACAGAGTTTCGATCGGATTTTTATCTTCGAAAGATGATGACTCGACACAGTGAGTAAATGTTTCAGATGACTGAAATATCTTGATACGAAAATAGCTTACCGAAAAATCTGGCATCTGGTGACATCAAATCTTTTAAGATTGTGTTTCCTTTTTTTTAAAGTTTTTTTTTAGGAATTTCCTGGACCTTTTAAGCTACGAGAGACCGATCACGCGATTTTAGTTATGTATTTATTATGTTTATTTTCCAAATTATTTATCGGTACAAAACTAATATCAATACACCAGTTTCAACTATTCAGTTTTGTACATAATTCTTTGCATATAAATTACCCAAAAATATTAGAAGATCGATTTGATCATAATTAAGATTCGATTAAATATTGATTTGCCGCGAAAGCGCGTCAAGTCATGAATTAATTCCAAAGAGAGAGTTTTAAGTAAAACCGCATAGAACTAAATCTCATCTTAGATTAGCATATGAGCTTATGGACATCAAGACATGAATGTCATCATGAATGAGGCCCAAGTCTTAATTCTATTGTATAACAGTTGTTTGAATATTCCATCCCTAGTGCCTCAGCAAGCGTCTTAGCCCAGTATGTGTCGTTGTTGATACTTCGAAGAAAGACTCATAAAGTACTTAAAAAGTATTAAAGGTGGTGGCAATCATTTCAAAATAGAATTTTGTTTTATTTACTTTGCTATAGTAACGCGATGTGTGGCCTAATTTTACAAGTTTACAGGTTTTTTTTTTATTGCTCTTGTAAGCAGACGAGCATACGGCCCACCTGATGGTGAGTGGTTACCGTCGCCCATGAACTTCAGCAATGCCAGGGGCAGAGCCAAGCCTCTGCCTACCGCTTAATACTCTCCACAAGCCTCGTTTGAAGAAGGACATGTCATAGCGCTCGGGAAACACCGTGGAGGGGAGCTCATTCCATAGCCGGATGGTACGTGGCAAAAAAGATCTCTGGAAACGCACTGTGGATGACCGCAGTGGCTCCAGGTAGTATGGATGAACTCTACTCCGGTGGCGGGCGGTGCGATGGTANCCGGATGGTACGTGGCAAAAAAGATCTCTGGAAACGCACTGTGGATGACCGCAGTGGCTCCAGGTAGTATGGATGAACTCTACTCCGGTGGCGGGCGGTGCGATGGTAAAAACGAGATGCCGGTATCATCTCGAACAATTCCTCAGAGCACTCCCCATGGAACATACGGTACAAAATACAGAGAGAACCGAAGTCCCTCCGCAGACCCAGAGATTCCAAAAAATGTCAGGAACAATAGATTTGAAACGATTCACGGTTTCTATAATTTGCTGTCAAATACGTATTTAGCTAAAGGTAAGACGTAAATTCACTTTGGCATCTATGACGATGACTAACAGTCATAGAGAGAAAAACTTCAAAAGTTTTTACTTTTGATAACAAAAGATTCATCTTTCTGTAAAATTAAATATTATTATCCGAATATTTTTCTAAAGTAATGTGCTCAATCATAGTTTTCGGTTTTAATTACATTACGCAATCCAAATGTGTGTATGAACACGATTTATTGTATAGGTGACAGTCTCATTATATTAAAAGCGTTTGTTTAACGTTAATATAATGAACGTTCAATTTGAATGCTTTATATCAACAAAACGAGGCTGCGGTTTATTTAGCTAGCAGTCCTCAAACTGGAATTAGTTTAGTTATATTAACTGTGCAACTAAATTCCTAAATTGTTCACGTGGAGTACGCATCGGTAGGTATAGTGGTATGTTTCACCGAATCACTTTGTGGTTATTTAGTAGGCAGTCAATTTACCTGTTGGAAACTTACCGATAATTTTATAAATATTTTAAGATCGATATTAGTATCACAATTTCGGTTTACGCCCTTTGCATTCCACGAAACATCATAATGGATCCGAAAGATCTATTTCGGGCAGCACTAGTTAAGACACGTCCCTAACCATTTAATTGCACAAATTATTATTTATTTTCTAAAATTCATTATATATGGATATAAACTTTTTTTTTAAAGACTAAGATCTCGTGTTCGCCGCATGCTCAACCTCAGAATCAGAAGGTTGCGTGTTCATATCACGTCGGGGTCATCACTGTTAAGTCTGTGTTTATATAGAGCGTGTGTGATATTATGCAGGGTGATAATTATTGACAAGACACGATAGTTTGTAAGCTGTTTATTGTGCAATGACTCGACACAGACTGTCTAAGCTAAGCCCGCTACAAAGATTATGTATAACAGTCGGAGGTACTTACATACAACATTCAGTTTGAATGAATCTTCTATGCTCTGGCCGGGTAAGGCGTTNAGTCTGTGTTTATATAGAGCGTGTGTGATATTATGCAGGGTGATAATTATTGACAAGACACGATAGTTTGTAAGCTGTTTATTGTGCAATGACTCGACACAGACTGTCTAAGCTAAGCCCGCTACAAAGATTATGTATAACAGTCGGAGGTACTTACATACAACATTCAGTTTGAATGAATCTTCTATGCTCTGGCCGGGTAAGGCGTTATTGTCCGCTTGGCACTTAAGCTGGACATTGTCATCGTCAGGTAATGGGGTGAACATCAACTGACTGCTGACCCACGTCTCGTTCGTTCCTTCGGTTACCTGGTGTTTTATTTTTATTAGATTATTCTACTGTGTGTAGTTCGGTTTTCATCCATATTTGAGTATATGTAGGATTGTGTCGACCAATTTCTATTGCTTAATACCATCGAGGGTAATTTCACCAAAGGACCAATAGGCTTGTTTTGATAATCTCGTTTTAATGTTTTCACGGCTCTAATACTAGGCGTAGGCGTACTGGACTAGACGACTGTGGCGTTCAGGCATCGACCTCACGTGAGTGGAAAGATACGCGTTGCGATTTCAAAGTTTCTCAAATAACTCAATAGGTCTGTTTGTCGACAGTAAGAAATGATGATGAACATGAGTGCTATGAGCACGGACGGGAGATGCATAACAAAGTATGCAAATATGAAGTTAATGCATTGTAATCATGCGTAAATTGGTGTTATCATAGCTATGTTATGCTATACAAATACGTTTTCACTAATGGTGCTGGCAGCTATTTTTCGGATTTAAAGATTATAATTTATGTCTCTATAATATCATTTCTCAGGTTTTATATAGAAACATCAAAATAAAAGAATCCGTTTCGGAAGTTAATGGTAATTACATCTGGACCATTTGCAAGGTTACCATTACATTAAATACTCATCGTTTCAGGGAGTTCGTTTGTGAAGCCGCAATGGAATGCAATATTTGTGTTCGTATCTTCACCCCGCGATATACGAAGTCGTTGACCCCAGGCGTCAGCTGATTTTATATTAGTTAATATGTATTCAAAGAATTTAGTTACATTCCAAAATTGATTTCAATTTTTGAATTAACCAGTCTTCATTTTCGGGTATAATTACCTTATATTCCGGAGTTCATTAAAACAAACAAATACCTGATTAGAATGAGTTGCAAAAAAAAAACTCGGTAAATTTATTACACGCGATTAAATAGACCTCCCCATAATTTTACGAATATGAAATTTGATTGCGATAAAATGTTACCTTTCCCCTTTTAAATTTTCTGTTATCTTTGAACCAAGTGAGCTGGGCTGAGGGTCGGCTGCCTTCCGATACGCACGTTAGCGTGACGTGTCGCTCCGACGATAAGGTGACTGGTTTGTTCAGGATCTCTATCATGTTCGGTTTCACTGAAAAATTATTTCTGCTTTAATAAATTTAAAAATGTGTGATTGTTTAATACGATGGACTACTTATGTTGGTTGAGTTCGGTATTAAATCGAGATATAAATAGCTTGGTAAACCACCTGCCTATTTCTGCCGTGAAGCAGTAAGGTGTTTCGGTTTGAAGAGTGGGGCAGCCGTTGTAACTATACTGAGACCTTAGTACTTACGTCTCAAGGTGGGTGGAGCATTTATGTTGTAGATGTCTATGGCCTCCAGTAACCACTTAACACCAGGTGGGCTGTGAGCTCGTCCACTAATCTAAGCAATAAAAAAAACTGCTCGCCTGTGCCAATGACCGTGTTAATACCCATGAACGACTGGAACATCATCAGCTGGGCTCTGAGCTTTTCTAATTTCGTAAGTAATAACAAGAACTATGTTAATTCAGTACCTTCAAAAATACGACTTCCAGTAATAAAGAGAGATACAAGGAAGAACAAAAACGAGTAAATCATTTACTAAATGTAGTTAGTGCTACTGAATATTATGATAACACATACCCACACGCAATTTAAGATATCTCTTTCATTTCTTTTCTATTCTGTATTTCTCCTGAGAGAGTGTATCAGAGATTCAATTAGTGATTAGATCTACAAAGATTTTAGATTTGTTAAAAAAAATCAAAAATTTTTGGAGTTTACTCCTTTAGAATCGATTTACATATATAGGCCCGGGGTATGAAAATTATGGGGACCAAAATCGTACTAGCATGTCACACGAAATGCGTTATGCGCCTGATTGGCTCCTGATTGCGTGATGCGTGCGCGCGCCAATCAGGAGCCAACGCGCGGCCGCGTTATCGCAGGTGACGCCGGGCTGCTGCGCCGGCAGTCCGCCACAAAGCCTCGTACTGATCGCGCGTTTCTCTCATTATTGTATTTTCATATATTTGTTAGTCGTTTGTTTTGTGTCTCGTTAATTTGTTAATAATCTGTAGTGTATCGTGTTGTCGTAATATAGAACTATTTCTCGTATTGTTTCGTTTAATTTTTTATATCCAGTAAACTCCAGTCGTGCGTCGGAGCGGACACACACACTTTTTTTTTAATTTTAATGTTTAAGCTCCAGCACGAATGGCTTAGAGTCATGCATCTAACCGACTGTGTGTGGCATTGCTAATTATTATGCAAAACTTAGATTACCAAATGTTGAATCGATAACGTCATCATTTGTCCCTAGATTAGAGAATATCTACTTTGCTTTGAAGTTAATATTGCGTAATAAAAATTGATTGAATTTCTGTATTACTTTTAGCGACTTATGCCTTTAGTGTTAAGTTCCAAAGTGGTATAAACTAACAATAAATATGGTATTCAGAATAGCACAACATTTTTTTTACAATAATCAACATTGTGGAATTAGGAATCATTACTTGTATATTTAAGTAATATTTATATTAGCCAGGATTTTTAAAATGTCCTGCTATACATCTTTAATCGATATCAATTTTTTTTATCACGTATTTCTGTATACATAGCTATATTTGCATAGTTTTAGATTATTATTATATATAACTATGTACACTACGTAAACATATTATATATACATAATTAAATGTAATATACATAGTTATGTATATTTAATTAGAAAGATAACCCAATAAGATAACAAACTCAGAATACTAAACTTGAAAAGATTAACAAATAAATTGTTTAATCAAAATGTATTGTTTTTTTTGTAACTTAACAACTTTGGTAACTGGTGACTCTTTGGCACGAAACTACACGTATAAAATTATGAACTTCTTTTTAACGTAAGCTTTTCTAATACAATTCAGATTTTGACCCACATTCCCTGTTTACACTGATGAAAAATACGATCATAAATTTGTAGACGTAAGTACTTTGTTAAGACCAAGTATAGTGTGAAACTAAAGTTTTGTATTATTAGTAATTCTTTTTAATACGCTTTTTTTTTATTGCCCATGCAGGCAGACGAGCATACGGCCCACCTGATGGTGAGTGGTTACCGTCGCCCATGGACTTCAGCAATGCCAGGGGCATAGCCAAGCCGCTGCCTACCGAAAACGCGCGAATACGCTTTTATTAGCTTCAGACGTATGTATGTTAGTATGTAACGGAATCTTTGAACATTATTTTGACCCCTCCAAAACGTCTGATTAGCTCGATATTTTGTATACTTATTAAGAACTGATGACAATTCAATATTAAAAAAATTATTGAAACAATTTAAATTAAACTAAAAATAAATAATAGTTTAGAGAAACTAACAGAATACGCTTTTATAGAAAATCCAACTAAAAAATAGAAAATAAATTTGAATTAAAAATAGTGTAAGAAATAATGATTTTATTGTAAAAAAAGCGTGGGGTGCTTTTCAGGATATTATCAAAATAACCCTTCTACTCATATCTGTTCATAAAATATTTATAACTACTGATACCATGCACCCCACGCTTTTTTTACAATAAAATAATTTTTTCTTACACTGATTTTAATTCAAATTTATTTTATATTTTTTAGTTGGATTTTCTATATAAAAGAGTATTTTGTTAGTTTTTTAAAACTATTATTTATTTACCTTTAACGAGTAACTTACGATTCACAAAACTTACGATTCATTTCCAATCTGACGGTCTTCTCTTGTGGACTGACTAGATTCGTATTTGACGCTCGGCATTTGAAGGTTGTGTTCAAGTGACTTCTTCTGACGTGTGGCAGTTCTAATCGATTGACGACCACGTGCGTATCGGTCTTCTCACCGATGTACTGAGGCGCAGGTGTGCCATCAATCAGCCAAATGACGGTAGGTGCTGGACGACCTAAAACAATAAACCTTAGTTTTAGTTATGTAATTTTGTTATAATAGATCCACTTCTTTGTTATCTAAAGGAGAAAATAACTTCACAAAATTTAGTTATTTTTTATTGCTTACGTATTAGTAGACGAGTTTATGGCCGATGTGGTGACAAGTGGATGCCAGAGCCTTTAAACATGTAGAATTATACAGCGTAAATGTCGCTACCCACTTTGACACATGTCTCATTTTTTTAATTACGACTGCCGTACTTTTCTAACCGAAACACATTACTGTTTCAGGGCGAAAATAAGCTAGGTGGTATTACCTATACAAGCGGGCTCTCAAGATGCTCTACCACACGTAAGTGTAGTACTTTGAATTTCCTTCTAAAACAACTGGCTTAGACGTTGAAGTACTGATTATCATAATTCACAAAATTTACGTAATTTTTGGCTTGGCGGAGCATTTTGTGAGTTCAGCTAGGTCGGTATCGACGTGCCGCTTATTTCTGACGCAATGCAGTCGTGCGTTCCGATTTCAATACCTGTTTAAGTTCTTTGAGTTCAGAGAACAATTTAACACCAACTGTGTCCAGCATCAATAGAAATAGACACCCCAGATACTCAAAATAAATTGCACGAAGTTTACTATGCTCACGCATTTAATAAATCTTATAATTTATTATAAAATTATTAAAAAAATTATATCATTAAATAAAATACTAATATATAAATCTACAGTGATTTTTAAGGATGTTCCGTTATAACTACTGAACCATGCATCCGATTGACTTGAAACTTGGTATCCATGTAGAAAATACATGTACTTAATGGATAGGCTTATATTTATATGAGTGTTGGACTCCCTAATAATAATGACAATAAATTATAATGTTAATTTTAAATGCGCAGCGAAGCGGGCGAGTATGGCTAGTCGTTTATAATAATGAACGAGGTTTGGAGAGTCCCAGTCAGAATAATAACAGCGAAACCGAATCAAATCAGTAAGTTGTACCCGGTTAACTTGTCAAGGTATTATTATCTATAAACCATAATTGGATCCCGGATATGATATAACTTTGGAATGGATTTTTCGAATATACCCTTCTGTGAAGACTTTTTTTAATTACGATAAAATGAATAACCCGTTCGGTTATTGGAACGATATCATCACATTTAAGAATGTACGAGTAAGTACCCGCAGGATTATATGTCATTGTTCTATCAATTTCTGTGCCAAAACAGTCATAAATTCCGTAGTGGAATACAATGGAACTTAAGTGCTAGTTAAGGGTAAGTGAGTTCATGGGTTGTCCATTGTCTCTGGTATCTATCTCAAACAGGCATTGAGTTTTTCTGAGCTATAATTGTATAGCTATTTAGATACACCTTTCTGGAAGGGTTAATTTGTATTTTAACAATACAAACATAGCCTCAATAATTTCATTTAAGGAAACGTTATAAGGCTCAATGTTATAGTGAACATTTTCATTCCACTTGTAACTATGCGACCTTCACTCTTTATAGGTTAATGAACCTCGCAATATACATAGCCGAATGCTTTAATAAAACTACTTAGTAGTAATTCGTTTCGGAATCGACAATCTTGATGAATGAAATAAAGTATTAGTGTAGGTACTTCAATAAAAATATTCGTAGATATTGGCGAGTATACGGATAATGGAAGTCACTGAACTCATATAGGTACTTATGACTTATTTATTATCTATAAGTCAGTCCATGCTTTAACTACTAAGCGAGGTTCTTATGTTTGCAAATATACAATGAAAAATGGCTTTTCCTTATAAACTTTATTTTTAATAAAACTAGTAGATTAAATAAAGCTGTTTGGTTTTTCGCCAAAATAAGTCTTGTTACATAGATCTATACAAAAAAAACAAAAAATATACACGCTTCAAATAGAGAAAAACTTCATTGTTGACAAGTTAGTATTTTGTATAGAACCGAATTGTTATAATACCGAAAAGTGGAATTAATAATTCAGAGTTAATAATTCAGAGGAAATTATGTGATCACCCAGCAATGAATATCACTAAATTGGTGGTATGGTCTGCACGAATTCTTACTGCTTCCAAAGTTTTCCTTTTCGAAATGACAATTCACTCGGCCGACAAATTCAATTTGAAAAACCCTAATGAATAACAAACAACCAATTATGAGCCACTTTGGAGCAGAATTTAATTATTATGTTTTATTCATTGAACGTGTTAGTTGGGTAGGTAACTAAAATACTTAGCACTAGTAACTAATAATCGTTGTCTTAAAGGAGACCTTGCAATTTGGCCGGTAGATTTGGGAATTCAAGGCACTTTATTGCCTCAAGTGTTTTTAATTCAGGATTCGCTAAATAAGAAATTTTATTTAATAAAATTTTGGGAAAATGTTGCCACATGCACTGAACTGAATGCACTTTTAATGGCTACAGTATCCATTATCTATGGTACGGAGATCACAATTTTCGCTGTTGGAATTCGAGCCTGTTAATCGATTTTAAAAGCTATAGAAATACATGAGATAGTCAAATGTGGAAGTCTCAATTTTTTATTGCTTAGATGCGTGGACGAGCTCACAGCCCACCTGTTGTTAAGTGGTTACTGGAGCCCATAGACATCTACAATGTAAATGCGCCACCCACCTTGAGATATAAGTTGTAAGGTCTCAGTATAGTTACAACGGCTGCCCCACCCTTCAAACCGAAACGCATTACTGCTTCACGGCAGAAATAGGCAGGGCGGTGGTACCTACCCGTGCGGACTCACAAGAGGTCCTACCACCAGTAAAGAGGTCCTACCACCAGTAATTTGTAAATATTGTCCAATTCTTTCAACTAGAATGCATGTGTGAGTTAAAAGCGCACACTAACACTAGCGTAATATTAGTTAGTGCACTACTGCACAATTTATATACCTAATTAACTGAAGTAAGATCCTCTGCAGATAACGTAATTTCGGCTTCACCAGGCTATAATTGTATTATCGTGGCAGCGGACTCCGGGTCTTGCAATATTCATCATTCTACGTCACTTATTCCGAACTTCTTCCAGTTAACTCCCCTAAGACTTGCGCACAACTATAGCTTGTTAGGAACGGGGAAATAGCGTGAAAAGTGAATGACCTCAAATCAGTGGTAACCTATTATGTTAATCGAATCTTAATTGTTCTGCATATTATGATTGTTTGATAATATTTATGTGAACAGTTTTTATTTCTCAAAATAACTCCAAGCTTTGGCTAAGGAAAATAATCCAAAATAGTTAATTTGTTCGAAATGATATGTATGAATGTTTTCCGTTTTTGTTAAATGATACCTATGAAATCCACTTGAGATTTTTACCTACATTTTCTATATAATAGTGGTATTTACATTATTTATATGGGCCACGGTACTAATTAAATACTGCGGAGAGAATTTGTTACAATACTTTTTTTTAAGCACCTTAGGTATTAGCATTAGTGTGAAACCCCATAATTATTTAAGAAGTTTATTTGATATATAATATGATAATGGGTCGTGTGGAAAATTGTTTCCATGTTTTTCGTTTTTAATAGATGATACAATAGCTACGAAATTCAGTTGAGATTTCTACCTACATTTTCTATATAATGGACCACCATGCCAATTTACGTTATTTCTATGGGTTACGGTACTAACTAAATACTGCGGAGGTAATTTGTTAAGTTTTCTTAAGCACCTTACGTATTAGTATTAGTGCGAAATCCCATAATTATTTAAGAAGTTTATTTAAAATTAATTATCATACTTTGTAGCAGACACGTGCCGTAGCGATTTTTTTTATTTATTATATTATTATTATATTCATTTAACATCGAGAAGATTACGTTGGCGTTGAACGTGATGTAATTTACTCTAAGTATAGCTGTGAGGTCTCTGATATTCTCTTGATTAAATAAACTCTAACAAAGCTTAATTAACTAATATATTATTAATGTCGCGTGTTTATGATACGTATCAAAATATTTTCTAGTACGTTCTTTACGGTATCTTTTAGATCATGCTTAGTTTTGATTCTTTTTTTAATATAAAATGATATTGCATTTTTTAGTTTATATTTAATTTTTAATTACACTTTTTTTTTTCATTGTACATTCTACAAACAGCTTTTTTCGTTTGTCCAAAAATACCTTAATGCATCGGGTATCTATGTATTTAAAACGACTTTTTTTTTTTTTTTTCCAGTAGCGGGCCGCACCTCCTACGAGGTCCCCGCGCAAAAGGGGCGCACGGGGTATATGAGACTCACCGGTCTGCATGGTGTTGTGAGCAGACCGCGGGCCCAAGGATTTTAGGGCCCACCCACTAAACGACTCCCCTGCACTCTTACACCCGACGTCCGATCCCCTCCGAGGTCAGAACCCGGATGAGGTAGGGGGGCTGCCGCGGTGTATTTAAAACTACTACCGTTTGATATATTTTTTTTCCGGGCTGGGGCCGAACCTCGTCCATCGCCTACTACCGTATGATATGGTAACGTCTTATCCATTGGGCTAACGAAGATTAATTATTATGAGTAAATTATGGATTCAATTAGTTGTACGTACAGCCGACCATGAAAGTGATGTAGCGAAGTCGTTCGGGACGCGACACGGGATGACAACCCGCTAATCCTCTGGGCTATGCATAATTCCAACTCGAAATATTAAGCGTTACGGAGGATTAAGCGCGGATTATGCGAGAAGGTTTTCGACTTGCCATCATTTTGTACGTAATAGGGTAAACCGTACTATTAATGGCTAGTAATTGGCATTTTCGATTTTAAACTACCGAAATTACGAGTTAGGTCTTATTTATTTGACATAACTTGATTAAACTTTTGTAATGTAAGAATCACGTCACGAAATCTCTGTGCAGTGCAAGATCGAAACAGTAAAAGCAAAATGATGGACCTCAAATGTGGGTATATTAAATATTTTCCGAGGGAGAAATTGATATCGATTTTTAAAGATGAAAAGAGCGGTAAATTACTTAGTGCATTACAGCCAATCGTTATTCGGTTTACCCTGTTTCGCTCACGCGATCACAGCGTTCGTTTAACATTATTATTATATTACGCTGATTGATATCGCGTCGTTCACTGTTATTTTAGTTCGGGAGTCATACGCGTTTTATTTTTACGATATTATGATTTTTGTTTTTACTAAAAACGAAACACATTTTAGGGAGTCGTAACGTAATTCGAAAACATAATGCGGTCGAGTTGAGACATTTTGTCTTAGGTTTTTTTTTCTGATTGAAGGATTACTAGAGTTCCGGAGGCCTTTCCAGTTTCACCCGGACAGGTCCACGAGCAAAGGCTCAGCCAGGAGGGGTGGGATTTGCTAACAGCTGCCCGAGCGCCTCCGAAGGAGACCTAACAACTCAAGAGCAGTTGCTTCGCGAATGAATCTACTACCGGATCGGAATCGCGACCCGCTGAGAACTCGGTTAGGTTTTCACGAAGCTTAGCCATGACGATTTCAAAATCCTCGTTAAAGAAACAGAAATTTATACTACGTATTTAGATATCGAAATTGAACAAGTAATAAATAATAGCCTTTGAATTTCAGTGGAAAATATGTTTGCGACTAGAGTTTCGTATTATGAAGGCTTATACTACATGTAAAACCCACTTTTATTATAAGATACTGTTAGTTGCTTCTACGCGTTAGGGTACATTCAACAAATCTTGATAATTTAATTTGCCTGGTTCATAATCTAATGATAATAGTCTGTCCAGCTTAAAGGTCAATAGCACTCACTCCTAATACTCCAGTAGTTCCAGTGTAGCACATTCATACGAAAATACTCACCGATGAGGGTCGGAAAATCCAAAGGCAAGCTAATTTATCTTGGGTCCTGCAACTAACTTAATCAAAAGACACTAGGAAACGGAAGAATGGACTCTTTTAGACATAATTTAATTATCGTATAACTGAGTTACGAGTATGTTGTAAAATACAAATTAGTCCGACTTAGATCGCCATAGAACGAAATCTAATTAAAATCATCCCATTTAAATTAGATAGTTCCTTTAAACCGTTCTAAATTTTTATTTATTTATATTACATAAGTAGTTATGTTGTTGACTCAAAGGTTTAATGTCGATATTACGTTTTTTTTTCTTAATCGTTCCTTTCTAAATCTGACTTTTAATTTATTAATTCGGAAAAATAAAATAGTCTTATTAAATTATTGTATTGTCATCAAACGTTTTGACACACACACAACCTACGTACAGGCGAAGGACAATAAAAGAAAGGGTGCGTGTACTTATTTATGTACGCGCGTAAGAAGTTATACTTTATTTTTACTAAATTTTTTTATTTTTTTTTATTTAAATTTTAATCAATTTGAAAAAAAAAAAAAAACGATTAAACAACATCCTCAAACACGCATATTGGACATCCCTTTTTTTGACATCGTATAAATTCGGTAATTCTCGGTACGGTTCGGAACGTTCACCTGCGGCTATATTCAGACTCGCCAAGCTACGTCGGTCGTATTGTAATGAGCGATTTAGTGGGCAACTTCATTCTGTTAATTTTGTGTCACGGTGAGCGCGCATCGTAAAATTTCACTCTCATCAATTTTTCATAACGCGCCTAAAGAAGTACAACTTCAAAAAGCTAATTAAAGCTTGTTAAAAACCTCTAAGTTAGAACACGATTGTTCTATTGCGGTTGGAGATATTAAAATGGTAAAAATTGTGCGCTATTTATGATCGTATAAATTCATGCAATAAAAAAGTTACAGGGGGTAGCAATTTTGTGTTTGAGTTGCGATCGACCCCCCGCAGCGTATCCCCGGGCGATAGATAACTTTACACCGGGTGCCATTTGGCGCCGATCTCTCACGGACTGACTTATCGGTAAGTTTAACAGTGATATATCAATGTAATCGCTTTAATTTCTCATCTCCCACTTGGGAGAGAACCTATGTTTATTCCGCATTGATACTGTTTCGCCATGAATTTATAGTGTCCAGAATAGTTTGAGTTACACTATCATAATATGTTCCATTTATGAATAACTAGCGACCCCGGCGAACTTTGTTCCGCCTTAGAGGCAATAAATGAGCAGACTTTTGATCAAGGTCAATTTTTTATTTGGATAATTAATGTAAATTAAAAAAGCAAGTATTTTAATGATTCTTTATTGGCCATGTATTTTAATTATTATTATTATATTTTCTTGTTCTTCTTTAGTCCTTTCACTCGCAAAGTTTCGAATCCTAGTTACATTACGGTTTCGTCGGGAAAGATTTGATCGTGTTGGTCGCGGCATGGCTTTCTTAATGATTATCTATCTCGGCACAATAAGCTAATCGAAACTCGAAATAAACACATCAACCGGTCAACTTCAAAATTCTACTATAATTAACCATAAACTACGTTACGTTTAGCTGTCAGTTGCGTTTTGTTATTCCATATCTGTTGCGTTTTGTTATACCACATTTTATGCCACATCCCACAGAAACGTGATAAAAAGTATCCTATGTCCTTCTCCTGATCCTAAACTACCTTCCCACCAATTTTCAGCCAAATCAGTTCAGCCGTTCTTGAGTTATAAATAGTGTAACTAACACGACTTTCTTTTAGATATATAGATGTGCGAAATATGATTGGCTAGTCAGTCAGTAGGACAGTTTTTGTTTTTTTGTTTGTTATGTACCTACATAAAGTATAAGTATTATGTGTTAGGTTCTTTACCTCCTCTCACTTCGCAGATAAGAACGAGTTCGTTGCCCTCTTCTAAAGGTCCTACGACTCCGGACACGTCTCGTCCTGATTTATCGTACAGAATGAGTTGATGCGGTGGCACTGAAACAAAAATGAACATTCAATATGTGATATAATAATAATAATTATTTATTTATTTCTCTCTTAAATGTATAATACAAATATAAATGGAAATTAACCTTATAATTTATTTATAAGCCTTTGAAAGAGCTGAAGTCTGTACTAGGTTCAAAGACCTGTATTACTGGTCTCCAGGCTTATCCTTCTAAGATAGATTAGGTTAGGTTAAGTCGTGAACTGACGTATACCTTTCGTTAAATTGAATATTCGCAACGTTGTATGTATTTCTGGATTATCACGCGCTAATATGGATGGAATTTTCAATCTTTATATATATATATATATTTCTGTGCGTGTGTTTGTCACTGAAGTCCTCCAAAGCGGCTGGACCAATTTTAATGAAATTTTCTGTGTACTTTCAGGTGGATTCTAGTATGGTTTTAGATTTACAAATCAGCCCGGCAGATGGCACTGCAGTCGTATCTAGGTTATTTATCTTTCCTCGATATAATTTATATGGCAAAACAACGTTTGCCGGACGAGGTAGTGCTTTATAAGTTCCTTAATTCGTATTCAGCGATGCACTGCTGTTCGAATCCCGCCGGCAGGTACCAGTTTTTCCAATGATATACGAACTTATCAAATGTTCACGATTGACTTTCACGGAGAAGGAATAATAACATCGTGTAATAAAAATCAAACCCGCAAAATTATAATTTGCGTAATTACTGGTGGTAGGACTTCTGCCGTGAAGCAGTAATGCGTTTCGGTTTGAAGGGTGGGGCAGCCGTTGTAACTATACTGAGACCTTAGAACTCATATCTGAAGGTGGGCGGCGGCATTTACGTTGTAGATGTCTATGGGCTCCAGTAACCACTTAACATCAGGTGAGCTGTGAGCTCGTCCATATATCTATGCAATAACAAAAAAGTACTTATGTATTGTTGTGAAATTAAATAGTGTTATATATTCTTGAGGGTGGATTTTAATAAACTAATATAATATAATCGTAATATGTTACATATAATCGGAGCTGGGTAGTTACCGCAATCCAATTTTCGCCGCGAAGCAATCATGCGTTCCAGTTTGAGATCGTTGCAAAATATAATTGAGACTTCGACTGTCTTTAATTGGATGGTATTCGGGTTATGTTGTCTACAGAATCCCGGGATCGTACAATATACAATGTGGCACATAAAATTAAGTAGCCTACAGGATTTAAAAAAAAAATTGAATTTATTTCTTGTCAAAATAAATTTGTACTTTTACAGTCTTCGAATAATAGGACTAGACGTTTCGTGTTTATTACATATTATGTACATACAAGCGATGGAATATTAACTTGTCAAATACACGACGCTATCAATTGACGTGATAATCCGAATACGATAAACCATTTGTTATCGCTTTGTATTGATAAATATAAGGTACATGTCATGACAAATGTTCATGTATTGTATTATATTTGAATTTTACAAATGCCCGTCATCAAAGGCTTGGCTGTTTTCCTGGCATTGCTGATGTCCACGACCCACTCATTTTTCGGTGGGCGGAATTTTGAATTCCCTTTCATCGAGATCATCATCTGCCTATAGAAGTCCATTGCTGGACATAGCTCTCTCCAATTACACGCCATTGATTTCTCATCCAACTTTTTCCAACTGCATAAGACGTCATTACACCGAGCCTGAAGGTGTCCTACAATACGTTTGCTAATTCGCAGTCTCCACTCAAGAACATGTTTATGCCAACAGTTATCGCTTGCCCGGTTAATGTGGCCAGCTCATTGCTTCTTCAGCTTACTAATCCGCTGCGCTATGTCGATAGCTTTGGTTCTCTGTCGGGTCTTCGGTCCAGATTTGATCCTTCAGAGAAACTCCAAGCATGGCCCTCTCCATATCTCGACTGAGCGATTTTAAACTTGTGGACCAATTCACGTTTCGGCTCCATAAGTCATGGACAGGCACTCTCCTTTGGAGGCAATAAAATAGTAAATTATTTTTTTGAACTCTTTAAGCTGTTTTCAGACTACGCTATAATATAGTGTCATATAGTATAGCAGCGTATACTTATTCAATAATATAATATAGTATAAGTACAGTGTGAACTGTGAACTTGTCCATAACAATGTATGGCGCTATTATATTATAGTTTTATATTATAATATATGCTATTATATTATAGTATAGTCTAAAAGCAGCTTTAGTCGTCAGCACCACGAAATTTGTAAAGTACATATTCGTAGCGTCGATATTATTAAAATGAAAATATTAAACGGGGCATTTAATTTAATGCATGTACTAACTATATTTCCTGTTTACTACGTTTTTGTGCTTGTACGCGAAGCAAAATTATGGACAAAATTACTTTAAGATACAAAATGATCACCGATCCCATTTGTGTCCTCGGGCGCGGCATCACCCTCACTTAGTACAGTTTACGACGGAGCCTACGTCGCTCGTAAATGCTTTGTGTCGCACGTAACTTCAACACGGACCTGTATTCACCCTTATAATACTATCAGGCAATTGAATAATGCAACGTTACATGTCAACACAATGGGGGCTTTCGTCCTTTGAGCAGGGTTTGCGTGACAAAAACGTGTGGAGGAATTTTCGCTTGGGTATGATTGATACTGATAAGCTTTAGAGTATAGTTAGATGCCAATTCGTATGGATTAAGATGTTCTGCTATGAAGGAGATTTTTAGGTTATTCATTACTTACATTATTTATTTATTTATTTATTACAAAAACATACAATTTTAATCATAATAACAAATATTGAAACGATGTTATCTGCTGTAGTCATAGACTGTGTTGCAGATAACAACGCCAACCCCTACACACAACGAGCAATAACATATAAATTTAAATATTTCATAAACACATTATAATAATTAATTTTAAATACAATTATCAAATCAATACAATATTATTTCAAAATCTAGAAGTACAATTAGTGTATGTGTGTGTGTGTGTAATTATTAATGAATGCATTGCAAAGACACGTGGAACACAAAAGTATGTATGCCTAAAATTTATCTGTTGTAGGTAGCATGTAGGTACCTGTGTTATTGTACACTGAATTTTACTACTAATTAATATTTATGTAGTAAAATTCAAAGTAAAATTTTTTGAAGGAAAAAAAAACCGTACATTAAACTGCTTTTAGTGATGTGTAGTAATCATAACTAGACGTCCCGCAGTAGTAGAAATTCGACTATAATTAATTGGAATTGTAAGTTTGTACACTATTATGATTGTATTTTATACTTCTACTAGCGGACCCGGCCACACGTTGCTGTGGCTGTGGCTTAGGTTTTTGTTTCTAAATAACTCGCGGCCGCCTATGCTAATACCAAAAATTGACAACGTAAGAACAATTGGATTTCACTGTATTGCGTTTACTACGAAATAAATTTCACTTATACTTTAGCCTCAGAAACACGTGGTGCTTATGCCATTAAATTGTAGCTTATGTGAAACGTTGGTATTTTTAGCACAGCGCCATCTATGAGATATTAAAGTCACAGTATAACAATTGTCTGTAAAAACTGATTTAAGGCGCCATCTGTTTTAGACTTATGAAACTTACAATTAATAACAAAAATCAACATAAGAAATCATTTTATTGTTAATTAATAAATATTGCGACCATTCATCGAAATAAAAACCATCCTATCTCTCAAGTTGGATCGAACTGCACATGGTGTGCGAATTTTATTATAATCGGTTAAGTGGTTTAGGAGTCCATTGAGGACAAACATTGTGACACGAGATTTATATATATTAAGATAATCACAAATTTCGCCAAGACTACACTATAAAAAATATTAACAGAGATAAACAATATTTAATCTATTCTCAATTTGACAACAGACGTCAAGAATAAAAGTTTGACAATAAATAGTATGCATGCGTGTGTGCGTCAAATACATGGTATGTAGTGTGTGTAATGTTTTCTATATTGATTTAATATATCTTTTATGCATTATTTTTAAAAAATATTAGCATTGTGCACTTCTTCTCTATATTCTCTATAAGTGTGGAAAATTTCATACTCCTCCGTCCGCGCAATTTTCGTAAAAAGGGATACAAAGTTTTTACTTCACGTATTAATATATAGATATGACACTTAACAATGTTCGTAGTCTGTACGGTACATATTCGAAAAGTCGGCAAATAGTAGGACATTAAAAAACGATTTATTGTTACAATGGATTGTTAGAACATAAACACGACTAACGCAACATAAAACTTAACAAATAAATGTCAAACAAACCACGAATAGTCGAAAATCGCCACTGAACGTGAACACTTCGGAACCTGCTAACACAACATGACGAACGGTTCTAATTACGGTTGTACAAACAAAACAAGAGGTCGCCGACGGCCCGGAGGGTCGACCGCAAAACCGAATAATAGCAAATCCTTTCAGCTATTGGCAGAAAGTAGCCGAACGACGAAATGCTCCCGAATCCGGCTGGCTAGTTAGTAGTCATTACTGGGAGACCGCTCGCCAACTTGGCCCTCAATAGCGGAATCGCTGACCGACGGAACAATATCCAATTTTGAATTTAACAGTTGACAGCGTCAATTAAATGACGTTCGGAGGCGATATGGCGTTTATTTTGCGAGTGTTCATTATTAGATTGCAGTTGATTCATTGTTGATGATGTTTTGCGTGTTCGATTATCGGAATCAACGATTTTATAGTTTTGGCTTTATTAGAACTTGCAATTTCGGAGTAATTGAGGATCGGAATTATTAATAACAATTTGACGAACAGAACCTGTTGTTAAATGATTATTTGTAGCCTTGGAAGATAAATGAACTTACAACTCACGACGGAACGTGGTCATTGTCGATCATGAACGTAGTCATGGTCAAAGTACTGTCTACCGCGGAGGATATTCTTAAAACCACGTTTCACCAAGGATAAAATAGCGCTCAAGAAATATCAAGAAGGGGAAGTCCATACCAGAGCCGATTAGTACAAAATAGAAATCTCTGGAATCTC